ATCCAGGACCACCTGCCCATGGTGGCACCACCTCTAAGTGGGGTAGGCCCTCCCACATCAATCATTAAGCAAGAAAATGGCCCATAGACTTTGCCACGGGCCAACCTGGAGAAGACATCTCCTCAGTTGAGGCCCGGGACGTTTTTGTCTCCTGGCACATGTGGACCCTGCAGACACCCCACTCTGGAGGCAACGAGCCTTCTGCACTTTCATGCAAGGGTGTTCCACGAGTCCAAGAAGAGAAGGATAAGGAAGTTTTCTGATGGCAGCTGAGGCAGCAGAGCCCTGCCTGAAGAGTTGGCATAAACTTGGAAAAAAGGTAGCATTCTGACACATTAAAAGCAGATCATAATGTGTTAGGAGATTAGTCAGGACTGAGTTTCAAGTGACAGATATGGAAATTAGCATAAGTAGGAGGCCGGGTAGCCTGAGTATGTAACTGAGAAAAACAAGATTTTAGAATCCCAGGCTCTTCTGAGAGCATTTAGCAGATGGGTTAACTTGCATCTTGTCCCTTTCTCTTCCCAGCATGCCACACACTCTCAATCTCTCAGCTTTATTTCCTAGTAAGCCATGTCGTGTCAGAAGTGACCAGCTGATGCTATTGTGTCTGATTATATAGTCCCTCGCTGACTACTGTTCCTCAAATACTTCCAGCCAAAACCCTGAGCCTGGAGGTCTGTGACTGTTTGTAGACCGAGGTAAAACTGTTGTGGTGAAGGCAGGCTTGTGCCAGACATTGTTAGGGGCTGGACATAACCAAACTCCATCCTCACAACTCCTCCATGTGGAGTATAAAAGCGGCCATCCCACAGGCACGGAAACGGAAGTCAGGGGGATTTGCCTCCAGTCTCGGAACTAGGTTTTTTCCTACCCTGGTTAGTGTGGTGTCAAAGTCTGTTTGTGGTCTCAGCTCCTAAGCCCTTGTCACAGTCCCAGGCAGCAGTAATGGAGCAGGAAACGCAGTCCAAGCCAGTGATAGCCAGAATTCTAGGGAACAGTGTGAGGCAGGATCACGAAATAAACTTACTGTCGTGGAAGAGAGAAGCCTGTGGTAATCCTGTCCTTGCAGCTTGAGCCTTGTGTCTGTACGGGAATCATCACACAGACTGGTCTGCACAATCGAACAAACACCATCCCTGTGCTCTGCGGGGCTGTCCTGTGCTTTACTCAAAAAGGAAAATTGATCGCCGTCTTGAGTGACAAGGCTTGGCTCTGGATGACTTGAGGCTGTAGCCGGTAGTCTAAGGATGGGATGGCTTACTGTCTTTGGAAACAGATGGCTAGCCCAAAAGCAGTTCCAGAAGGCCAGTGGCTACCCTTAGATCTGTGGCCTTAAAGGAGCCGTGTGTAGCTGCCAGCCTTCCTGGGACTGTAGCTCTCTCAAGGACAGTTGCTGGTCGTTCATTAACACCCTCCCTGGTGTCTCTGTCTAGCTGCGTGTCAGAGGAGCAGTGGGTCATTGGCTCAGAGCAGCTTGCGAGTTCAGAAACACCTCTTTGCTTTGCAAAGAGGTGCTCCCGGGAGTAGAAATATGAGTCACTCGGGAACTTGCTTCTATTCAATGGGCCCTGGCTTGTCAGGCCCTGGGTGAGCCGGCTGTCAGCCACGAAGTCTTAGATGGCTGAGGCCTTCCAAATCCCCTTTCTTGTCCTTTAAAGATCCGTCTGGGTGGGACCTGCCCGGGTGTGTGCCTGCCTACTCCGGGCCTACTGGGAGAGACTAGGATTTTGGATTTTCCTAGGTGGGCACCTCTTTGGCCCACATTCCTCCTCTCCCTCCTAGAGAAGGTTGGGCCAGGAAACCTCAAGGACCCTTGCCAGCTGCAGCTCTCTCGTTCTGGGTTCACTGGTGGGCCTGCTAACCGGAGCAGTGGAGACTCCCCTGGTCTCATCTCCTGGGCTGGAAGCTTGGCATCCCGTTTTTGTCCTCTCAGGAGCTGCCTGTGCGATGTGAACTCTCTCACAAAGTATTAAAGCCACTCATCAACCAAGCTGGTGTGTAACAGGGGCCTGACCAGGTGCTGGGAATATGTAACCGAAGTCTCTGCCTGAGGACATGTTCATTTGCAATAGTTCTCACTCCAGTCACATCTGTAGGGGCTTCCATGTTCAACTAGCCAGGAGGGGAAAAAAATTCAAAGTGGTCTCACTTTGGAGCCCAGGCTAGCTTGGAACTTTCTGTGTAGACCAGGCTAGCTTCAAACTCAGTGATCCTCCTGTCCCTGCCTCCCCAGTGCTGGGATTAAATATGTACACTACCATACGTGGCGAGAAATATATTTGGGGGGCTCCATTATGCAATATAGTGATTATGGTTGTAACAATGTCATGTATAGTTCAGAACTGCTAAAAGTGGATTTTTAAATGCCCACCCCAGGGAGGAAAAGTATGTGACCTGTTGAATATGTTAATTAGCCTTATTTATGTACCCCATGAATACCCATAATTGTCATGTTAAATGAAAAAGGAGATCCCGAGCTGGGTGTGGTGGTGCATACTTTTAATCCTAGCACTGGGGAGGCAGAGGCAGGAGGATCTCTGTGAGTTCCAGGCCAGCCTGGTCTATAGAGCAAGTCCAGGACAGCCAGGACTACAAGAGAAACCCTGTCTTGAAAAAGAAAAAAAAAAATTTTTTTTAAAAAGAAAGAAAATAAAATAAAAAGGAGCTCCTCTTTGGTATGTTCATTTTTAAAAACCTTTTAATATTGTAATATTTGTAGTTGTTTAAGTTTTATGTTTTACCATTTTTATTTACTTTTACTTTTCCGCTTTTTTTTTTTTTTTTTTTTTTTTTAGATGGAGTCTCACTATGAAGCTCTGACTAGCCTAGAACCCACTATATAGACCAGGCTGGTCTTTAACTACCAGAGCTCTGGCTGCCTCTGCCTCCTGAGTGCTGTGTTCAAGGTGTGTGCCACCATGCCTGGTGCCAAGTCTTTTTCTTAACCATCACTTTACACCTATTGCCACTGACTCAAGAATGATATGTGTATGTAAAGGTTTGTTGAGATGCCAACTAATAATTTACTTAGAGGCAATGGAATCCAGAACTTGGCAACTAAAGGCGAAAATTAGAAAGACCCTTACACCGATATATTCCTGTGGTTGGGACACCTCCACAGCGTTTTCAAGACACAAAGCTAAGGGAACTAAGCCATTGCATAACCAGATCAAGACTCAGAACATTTTAGCAGCTTGGGAATATGGGCTGACATGCACAATGTAAACTTTAGTAGAAATAATGTTTGCACTTAGTTTTAGAAACACTAGTTCCGTATGCTGAAGACTGGAGACATCTGCCTTGACAGCATTTCCTGTACTGTAAACTCTGCATATTACTCTACACATACTTACATAAGCCCAGCAGGGGGATAGCACTGCTCTAAGATAATCAGATTTAGAGTGAATACTGGAAGGACGCTGGTCCTGATGCAGGAGAAGACTGACCCTTTGCGCTTGACATTGGCTAGACCATATACAGAATCGTCCGTTCATTTCCAGATCAGGAGGGTCATTGATTTCTGTGAGCCAGTGCAAAAGGTGTCTGTCTAGACACTGTGGTGACAAATGGTTGAGACCTGGAAAGACCTGGATGGCGAGCAGGAAGGTTGTCCTGAGGGGCTTGGGTTACTCAGTGCCGCTCCAGGCAGCATGGCTGAGGTCAGGTTCCTGTGGCAGGAGCTTGCCAGCTGGATGTAGGACTTGTGGAAAGGCTGTTTCTTTCCCTCCCTTCCCCGTGGCATTGGGGACCATCTTGCTGCGGAATGGAGGCGGTTTAGTCACCAGGGATCTTGTCTGTCTCACAGAAAGCTGTCTTCTCTTTCTTTCTGGTGTTTTCTGTTCATGAACAACAGGAGCAGGTGGGGAAAGCGATCTGTGGGATTTTTTTGGGGTGGGGGCTGATTAAAGTAGATGAAAAGTTCTCAAGAAACATTAATCTACATATTTTATACTTAAAATGTGTCAGCCTTGAATTTTGGCCAAGATCCTGAGCCAGTATCCTGAGAACAGGGACCATACCTAATAGTGAAGTCTCTGTGGGCCAAGATGGCACCTTCCTGTCTCCATCCACAATTCCTACTTGCTTCCTTGCCTCCACCATGCCTAATGAGAGCAACACCCTGCTTTGGTTTTTAACCCTGATTGACTGACCCTGCTCAAAACCTCGGAATTGTTATTCGGATAATCTTGTGGTTGAATTAAACGTGGCAGCCAGTGAGCTGGGATGAGGTAAAGGTGTGGATTGTGATTCTGTAACTCAAGGTGGCCTGAAGCCCTTGGGAGTTTCTTTATGATGACAGTTTTACCAGTTGAAAATTCACCCCCAGAGCAAGGGTCCAGAGCTGCATGCAGTCCACAAAATCTCCTGACAAGCCACCTGCCCCTCTGCAGATCTGGGCTGGCATAGCTCAGTGATAGAATGCTTGCCTGGTATATGCAGGATGCTGGATTTGATGCCCATTACTGCATGCAAGGGAGGGTGGGATTTCTACTTCAGAGTTTTTGAGGTTTTGGTCTAAAGGGGGTCAGTTGGCCCATAGATTGCTGGGGGCCTATAGCAAGCTGCACATCACAGTGGAATGCATGGTAGAGGAGAACTGTTTACCTCAGAGCAATCAGTCTTCAAAACAGGAGGACGACAGAGTCCCGTCAGCCTCCAATGAACTAAAACCTCCCATCAGGCCTTACGGCCTGACTGCTTCTCCCCAGTCTCTTTCCTGATGCCGAGCCGATACTAAGGCTTTGACATGTGGGTCTTTGCGAGACATTCCAAAGCCAAGCTATGACAGGGGGTGAAATGGGCACAGTGGTCCATCACAGGGTCAGCAAGCTGGACACAACAAACTGGAGAAGTTTAACGGGACAGACTGCCCAAGAGATTCCAAACAGGTTGGTCAAAGTGAGGTGCACGCCCTCTAAGCCTCAGCTCCATCTTTCATCAAGTGGCAAATGATGTGATCTGATGAGTCTCTCCTGGGTCCTGCCTTCTTTCTGCAGCTGTCCAGAATGCTCTGCTCACCACATCCCCGGGTGCACTGATCATGAGCCTCAACTCCTCCGCCGACTACAGGAAGGAGCTGAGCAATCTCACTGCCCCGGACGGTGGTGAAGGGGGCGTTGTCACCGAGTTCATAGCCCTCATCATCATCACCGTCTTCGTCTGCCTGGGCAACCTAATCATCGTAGTCACCCTCTACAAGAAGTCCTACCTCCTCACCCTCAGCAACAAGTTCGTCTTCAGCCTGACCCTGTCCAACTTTCTGCTGTCCGTGCTGGTGCTGCCGTTCGTGGTGACCAGCTCCATCCGGAGGGAATGGATCTTTGGCGTGGTCTGGTGCAACTTCTCCGCCCTCCTCTACCTGCTCATCAGCTCGGCCAGCATGCTTACCCTTGGGGTCATTGCCATCGACCGGTAAGTTCGAATCAGCCTTGGAGAGCTGGAGGCTTATGGAATGAGGCATCTCTGGTTAAGCAGCTTCAGATGGTCTTGTTCCTGGGAAGGGCACTAGAATGTTCTCTTTTTTTTTTTCCAAGACAAGGTTTCTCTGTGTAACCTTGGCTGTCCGGACTTGCTTTGTAGACCAGGCTACCCTCAAATTCTCAGAGATCCACCTGTATCATCTCCTGAGTGTTGGGATTAAAGGCTTGCGCCACCACAGTCCGGTTTGTTTCCCATTGTTAAGTGATGCACAGCTGTAACTTTATTTATTGTTTAGTTTTTAAAAAAAGAAGGTTCGTTGCTTAAAAAAAAAAAAAAAATCCCCAGGAACCTCATGAAGCATGAAGCAAGGGCCAAAGAGAGTGAAATGTCAGAGTAGGAAGTGAGTCCCATGTTCAGACTCAGCTGTTCCTCTCGGTTGTGTGCTTGATAGGCCTTGATTTGGTCTTTAATGGGTGGGCCCAGATAAAAGCCTCCTTTACTCTGTGGAGATGGACCAGGACTGGTTGAGGGGAGCAGTGGGAAGGCAGACAGCTCAGGGAATGATGGTACCTGGAGAAGACCAGCAGGCTTTTACAGCTCGTGTTGACTCTGCCCGCAGTGTAACTGCGGCGGAGAGGATGGACACTGATGCCCACGCTGAACAGCTGCTCTGGGTCCTGGGAGTACTGTGCTTTGCAGGCAGGCTTAGCTTTCAATCGTCATATGTTTCAACTGTCATGCGCGAGAGCTGGACTTCTTGACAACAAAGAGAATGGAGTCAAGATCTATGATTTCCTGGAAACTGGGAAGGATGTCAGGGGGAGGGCCGGGGACATTACAGAGGGGGCTAGTCATCAGGGATGTTATCATAGCTGACACAAGTCTCCAGATTCTTGGGAACACGGTTATTTGGGTTGGACTAGCTGCCCAGAGCCCAGGGGATGCTGTACTCCAAGGCTGGATTCTTGTTTTCCCCGTGGCTTTGTAGAGAATGTAGAACGAACGAGTCAAATGAATTAGTTAGCTTCTCCAAATGTCATAAAAACAACATAAATTAAAAAAAAAAAAAATGAAAGAAGAGCTAAGTCACAGTGTAGCCAACCAGGCATGGCCGCTGCGCGTTGTCAGCGCATTCGCCTCTGGTACTTTTTAGCTGTCTGCAGTGCGCTTTTTATATTTTTCTTCTTAGATTTGTTTATTTTATGTGCACGAGTGTTTTGCCTGCATGTACGTATGTGTGTCACTTGTGTGCTTGATGCCTGCAGAGGTCAGAAGGGGACATCAGATCCCCTGGAACTGGACTTACGAATGGTTGTGAACTACCAGTTGGATATCACAAACCAAATCCAGGTCCTTTTCGAGAACAACCAGTGTTCTTTCTTAACCACTGAGCAATCTCTCCAGCCGCTCTATAGTACAGCTTTAAAATTATTTTACTTTATTTTAATTATGTGTGCGCGTGCACACACTGACGGTACCCTGCTGGTTGAGGTTGCAGTTCTTGCCTGGACCGAATAGCCATTACCAGCTTGGTGCTAAAGGCAGAACCCCCTTCCCTCAGCAGGGTCCCCTCCTCTCTGCCTGACTTCATCTGGAGAGTGTCTTTTAACAGAGACTCCCCACTTGATACATGGCCTCTGACACAGCTCCCTGCTAACTCTCCCCTCTATGTTAATTTGGCACTGAGATTCTATCCTTATGATGAGAGTGTGCTGTATAACGTAAAGCAAGCATCCTTGAAGTGCCTGGTTCCAACCAATTATGTACACCTCTTCTTGGAGCCTCCCCCCCCCCCCCAACTCTCCTAGGAATTAAAGTTGAACTAGCCATCAGCTGTTCGCTGATGTGTGATCCCTGTAGGGTTCTTGCAGGCCATTCCAGGCATGCTTCTCATCTCCTGTCCCTCCTGGCTTTGCGAGCTGCTTTAAGACTGCCCCCAGGCAGGAGGAGAACCAACAGGTGCAGGAGTAGGTACCCAGGGAGACCTGGATCTGGATCTGGAATTACAGGTGGTTGTGAGCCAGACAACATAGCTTCTGGGAACTGAATACTGGGCCCTTTGCAAGAGCAGCAAGCCCAGAGCCACCCCTCCAGGCCAATAGTACTATGCTGTGCTTTGTTGTTTAACAGGTGACCATGAGCATCTCCTCCCATCTCTACCCTTGGAGAATGCATTGTTAGTCATGTGCTGCTCTGTGATGGTGGTTTCACACAGCTCCCTGCAGTGCTCAAGTGACCCTGTCCATTTGTGAAATTGCTGTGCCTTCAGTCAAAGTAAAACACACGTCCAGGACACTTGGTGGAGAAAGACAAGGGGCTCTTCCAAAGGTAGACAGGTGGTATCCTACCAAGACGGATTGTATGACAGAGGAAAAGGAGCTTTGGAGGTTGTTGGCAGTAGAGAGGAATCAGATCTTATTGTCACTTTACTTTCTATTAAAAAAAAGAAACAAACAATGGGTTCTGAGCACCCGTTCTGGGTGCTGTGCAATGCAGACGAGGCTAAGCTGCTCAGGCGCAGATGAAAGTTGCCTCTGCAGCACTGTGTGCCCTCGGCTATGCTGACTGTGGTCAGCAGTCCGCAGGGGTGGCTCCAGGAGGATGCAAATTGCTCCCTTAAATCCGGGCCAAGTTAAGTGAAGGTGAGAAGGACGAACCCTCAGACATGCCGCCAAAATGCAGCAGCAGCAGCGTACCTGTGCCAGCGCTGTGGGTATTTGTTGGGCGCTCTAAAGACATGATGCTGGGGCGGTAAGCTCCAGGCACCATCGACACCCCAAACTGCCTTCCGGGATGACGACCTGCCAGCACAGACTCCACTATGCGTGCTGTTAGTGCAGAAGAGAAGCAGCTCCCACAGCCAGCTTCCGAAGTCACTGCTGCTGGTGAGCAGGGCAGTGAGTGGTTAGGGAGGGGTGGCATTTGAGCGGCAGCCTAAGCAGCAAATAGGATGGCACAGGCATACAGGAGGTAGTGGCATCCTTTCTGCTCGGGGACTAGGCTGTGCTTGTTCTTTTGCCGAACAGTTATTGAGCACTCGTGCTGCGAATGGCTAGCTGAAGGAGGTGAGTAAATCTGCCGCGAAATCACAAAGTTGTGTGATAACTTTGGAGTGTTCCGCTAAGGAAAAGGTGCCAGTGTGCTGCAGGTGCCGTGAGAACTCAGAAGGAGAGACAAGACAGAGCAAGGTAGAGGTGCCCAGGCTGTTTGCCGAGGATGCAGCGGCTGACAGCCAGAAACCGGCTGATAGGGGAGGACACAGACAGATTCACCCCAGGAGAACTGTAGCCCTCAAAGCAGCCTGGCCCCAAGGTCATTCATTGGAGGAGCTGTGAGTGGAAAAAGAACCACCCCATGACGATGGAGAGTTACCAAGACCTATTGTCCTAAAGAAATAGCTCATCACCCTCGTTTAACACAAGATGGATTCACATGGCTTGGTTAGAGCTTTATGACTAAACTGTGTTATTTAAAAAAAAATTAAGGATTGGAGAGATGGCTCAGAGGTTAGAGTACTTGTTGCTCTAGCAAAGGACCCAGCAGCACCCACATGGCAGCTCACAAGTGTCTGTAACTCCAGTTCCAGGGGCTCTGAGTCCCTCTTCTGACCTCAGGCATCAGGCACACACATGGTGAACATACATACATCTAGACAAAATACTCATGTACATAAGATAAAATAATCTAAAACTGAAAAGGGAAAGAAAAGTTAGTGTCTTTAGAAATGTTAATGGCAGGGGCTATTTATTTTTTTAATTTTCAGACGGCAGTATAGATTAAAACCTAAGTTGACTAGACAAGTTACATCTCATGCTATGTATGAGGCAGAGGGCGACAAGGTAGGGTTGGGAAGGAGAGAAAAGAGGGAAAGGATGGAGTAATTAAAGGTGCAGGAAGCTGGAAGTAGGGCTGCATTGTCTTTACTCTCAGCACTCAGGAGGCAGGGATCACTGTGAGTTCGAGGCCAGCCTGGCCTATAGAGCAAGTTCCAGGACAGTCAGGGCTACATAATAAAGAGACCCTGTCTAAAATGTGTTTTTTAAAAGTAGTACTGAAAACAACAGCACCGGTTACGATTTCTACCGTCACATGTTACATAACTGCCATGAGCCAGACATCTTGCCGTACTGTCAACATTTAGCTGAGCCGACCTTCGAGAGCCCTGTGAATCTGTTTCTCAGATGTAAACCCTTTCCTCCTCGAGCTGTTTTGGTTGGTCCATGGGTCCTTGCTAGGGTCCAGCTGTGTGACACGGTGTCCCCTGTTGCTTGACTGGGAAGGCCTGGCTGAAGGTGTCTCTCTTAGAAGCCTGCCCAGCACAAGGGGTTATTTGGGAGAAGTGTTAAGTGTCCCCACCCAAGAGGGGAGGGCTCCCTGCTTCCTTGTCCCTTCCCTCTCACCTCCCTCATCGTTTTTTTTTTTTTTTTTTTCTAGCTATTATGCTGTCCTGTATCCGATGGTATACCCCATGAAGATCACAGGGAACCGCGCCGTGATGGCCCTTGTCTACATCTGGCTTCACTCCCTCATTGGCTGCCTGCCTCCCCTGTTCGGCTGGTCGTCGGTGGAGTTTGATGAGTTCAAGTGGATGTGTGTGGCTGCATGGCACCGGGAACCTGGCTACACTGTCTTCTGGCAGATCTGGTGTGCCCTGTTTCCCTTTCTCATCATGCTCGTGTGCTACGGGTTCATCTTCCGTGTGGCCAGGGTCAAGGCCCGCAAGGTCCACTGCGGCACGGTGGTCACCGTGGAGGAGGACGCCCAGAGGAGTGGGAGGAAGAACTCCAGCACCTCCACTTCCTCTTCAGGCAGCAGGAGGAACGCCTTTCAAGGCGTGGTCTACTCAGCTAACCAGTGCAAAGCCCTCATCACCATCCTGGTGGTCATCGGCGCCTTCGTGGTCACCTGGGGCCCCTACATGATTGTCATCACCTCAGAGGCGCTCTGGGGGAAGAACTGTGTCTCCCCAACCTTGGAGACGTGGGCCACATGGCTGTCCTTTACCAGTGCCATCTGCCACCCTCTGATCTACGGCCTCTGGAACAAAACTGTTCGCAAGGAGCTCCTGGGCATGTGCTTTGGGGACCGCTATTACCGGGAACCATTTGTGCAGCGGCAGAGGACCTCCAGGCTCTTCAGCATCTCCAACAGGATTACAGGTAATTAGGAAAAAGACACCCCCCTACCACACCCCCAGGCACATGTCACCTGGGGTCAGTACAGCAGTTTCAGGGTGACTGTGACCTCCAGTCTCAAGGCACAGATGTCGTGTTGTGAAGGGCCACACCAGAGTGGTCACAGTGGCCCCCAGGCAGCTTTCCACTGCTTAGCTGCTGAAGGAGCATGCTGAGGAGGAGGTCGGAGCAGGAGGAGCTCCTGCTATACAGCCCCAGAGAACGAGACGGGGGACGTTGTGATTTGGAAAGCTGGGTCCTCATGGTCTGGAGGTGATAGACACTTCTTTATTAGAGAGGGAAGAATCCGAGCCTTGGACCAGGCTTTCTTCACCCCTGGCAAACGCTTTCCCTCAGGGTCACCTCGCTTCCATGCTCTTTGCCAACCTCAGTGGCAAAGAGTGGCAAAGAGGCTAACCTCACTTAGCCTGTCCCTTCTCCCAAACGCTGTCACCTTCAGCTTCCCCTCCCAGGTCAGTAGGTCGGTGGCCTCTTCTGATGGTCCTTGGTAATCTAGTAATCTTTGGTGTGTGTGTATATGTGTGTGTGTTATTAATGCGTAACCATAGCTTTCCATCAAAGCATCATTGTCATATGCTCAGGGCTATTCTATCCGGGACATGCACACCGCGCGCACACACACACACACACACACACACACACTTGACCAAGGCCCAGGGGGTTTGCTCCAATCAGAGGTTAGATGTTGTTTTTCAGCTTTTTCTTTTGATAAAATTTGAGGTTTTGAAGGGTTGCAAAGATAGTCCAGGGAGCTTCCCATAGTGTTATCGACTTTCATAACTGCAGGGCAAGATCAGCCCTAGAGCCCCACACGTGCCGTACCTCAGCCTGCCTGGGTACTTCTGCAGGGTTGGTCAGGCTTGCGTAGAGTGTTCCCCAGTTGAGGCTGGTGCTCGGAAGGAGACCTGCAGGAATGGTGGGGTCCTGTTGACATAGCAAATTCAGGGCACACATGTCAACGTACCTTATTACTGGTGAGTTACCTCGACCTCTGGCTTCAGGTGTGGTCTGTCAGCCTTCTCTGCTCTGTGCCATTTCCACTGTAATTAGCACGTGGGCCAGCAGAGATGCTTTGAGAAGCAAAACATCGTAGCTTTGCTCTAACTTCTACCCACTGATTCTGGCACGCACGGGTGCATCTTGCTCACCGTGGCTGTGGTTATAGTAAACACGTTGGGATTTTAGAGCCACTTTGAGGAAGACCGTCACCCAGCCAAGCCATTGGAAGGAAGTTTCAAGTGCACTTCCATGAGCCTGTAGCTCTCACTTCTGGCCAGGTGACTTAAAGAAATAGAGATTCCCCACCTTCACCCTCAAGAGGGCAAGAGACATGACCCCTGTTGCCTGTGTACTCCCAGGGCTAGAGAGGACAAGGTGCCCCATCCACATGTTACTGACACATACGCTGCTAACTGATTTACTCGTGGACTAGTGGAGAGCTATTGGCGGATAGGGGAAGTCTGGTGATTTTTCTTTTGACCACGGGAAGAACTGTCTCTGTGTCCCTATTGGTCCGACATGCCCAACCCTTGCTATTTACAAGCTCATGTTCCCAAGTGTGACTTGTGAGCCAGAAGGTGCCTTCAGTGCTTGGCTCCGTTTTATTAGTGAACCTGTTGACTCAGATTTTATAATAACTTGTCTTCTTGGCAAAAACTAATGGAAGGAAAACACCGAGGGCAGAGGAGGATAGAGGAAAAGAGAGGCTTCTGAGTCTTGGCCAAGATTTACTATGTGAATTGTTTGTGATTGTCCTGGAAGGGACTCCCAGGCTGTGGCAGCCATGGGAAAACAGCAGCTGTGGTCGGGTTGGCAAACCCGAAGCTGTTGGTGGTCTGAGGCTCATTCAGGGAAAAGCAGCCTTGTGGGCTGATGGGTTCTGAATCCGCGGCTTCTCCAGGGCTGGGAGTGGACAGTGGCTATTGCTCCTTTCTGAGGGCCTGATTGTAGGGAATCAGTCAGCTACACCAATGCCTTCGAAGCTGGGGAGCAAGAGCACACGGGCCTATCCCAGTTACACACTCTGGCTTTCCAATGCCTTCCTGATCGGGAGGGCAACCTGAGCCTCCACGCACAGCCCTGTGTCTTAGCCAGGCTCACCAGAACCTACCTTTGCCCTCTGTGCACGGACACAGCCATTTCCTAAACCCAGAGTAGCCTGCCATTGACTTACTTTCAAGCCTGCTTTCCGCCCTTGTGAGGGCAAGTGCCGTGGTATTCACAGGGGGTACAAAAGATGGCCAGCAAGATGGAGGTCCTACCGCGGTTTTGTGCAATGTATTTGACATCCAAAAAGTCCGTAGGTGGAATTATCAGTGTTCCTGAGACATGCAAAGGCAGAAGTGGAATCCCACACATGCCTGGGACCTCCCAAGCACATGACAATGGTGACTTCATCCGGAGCCCAGTTCACCCATAATCACTGTATTTAAGTTTTCTTACCCTGTCCACCTCAAGCTAAAGATACATTCTCGAGGATGCCAGCTGTCACGGAGCCACCAAGCCCTTTTGCTTGTGAGGCCTCTGTAGTAGATCTCCATGGTAGGTGGGCAGGGTTCCTGCCCAGGGCACTTGGAGACTGCTGGGGAGTGCCACCTTCAGGTGGATAGGGCAGCCATCGAGTAGAAGTTGCCTTAGTGCAAATGGTAAGTACTAATTTCAGTTGGATGCTAAACTGTGATACAAACCTGAATCTGGTAGGGGGCTCCTGGCAGAGAGAGGAAAGGAAAGACTGCAGGATAAAAGGCAAGAAGAACTGAAGAGAACCCCGGTGTCCCAGGGGTGGAAATGCCCTGGGTCTGAGGGCAGAGCTTTTCAGCTATCTCCTGGGAAGGAGGGTTCCATCTGTCATTCAGGGGAAAGCACCCTTCTTGGGAGGTCTGGGGTGAGGTGGGGGGTAATGCTGGGGCCTTTGGATTTTCCTCCTTTCCTTTTCTAAACCTCTCTCCTGGCGGCATGGTGAGGTCTTCCGATTAGTTCAATTCCTGCTGCACCTCAGAATCCCATCCCACTTCTCGGCTTCTGCAATGCACAAGTGCCTTTCGCCTGGTGCATATTCTTGTGGAGCAAACCTGGTGCCTGGGCCTGGCCTTCTGTGCCTGTTCGTTGGAAGGGTTTGACGTGGCCCATTCCCGTGGGCTATGGTGGTGTCCTGTGGCATCTCAGGGAAGTGCTTCCCAGCTGAGCCGCAGCGGTCTGGCTCAAACGATCCCTCTCACTAGAGGAGACCAAGACATGTGTTCCTGGCTTCTGCTGCAGCCTCAGGGATGGTGCCCAAATGTACTGTGGCTGCCACCATCCCAGCTGGCAGGGGATGGCCCTGGGGGCTCCGCCCTGAGAATTGGGCCTGCTGTCGAACATAGGCCACGTTCCCAGGCCTATGTTCCGGAGGGGACAAGCAGGTTCAGGGGAGACCCTGGGGTCTTCTCTAGTTTCAGTCCTGTAACCAACCCCAAGCAAACTGAGAGCTGCTTATGAAAGAGGTTCTGAGAGAAGGCTGTGTTGTGCATCGCTGTGGCCCACCATTCCCTCCTGGGCTCTCAGGAAGAGAGGGAAGAGTATATACAGAATGTCCTATCACCCTGCACTCTCAGAAATACCAGGGTGCAATTAAAGAGGATTCTTTCTCCCATCTTAGAGTATGTTACAGGAGAATGGAGATTGTCCTCTACCATAGGCCATGGTCTTAGTCCAATTTCTACTACTGTATCCAAGTGCTGGAGACTAGGTGTTTGATAGTGAGCAGCGATTGACAGTTGGCTTAAGATTCGGGAAGGTTGGAAACAACCCTCCCCACCCCCAACTCCCACTTCCCCCTTCCAGGTCAAGAGCACTTATGCTTATTCCTCTCACAGAGGACCTGAATTCAGTTCCCAGCATCTACACAGGGTTCACAACTTAACTCCAGTTGCAGGGAAGCTGATGCTCTCTTCTGGCTTTGTTAGGCTCAAACGTAGTGTACAAACATGCGCGCAGGCAACAAGCACACATGTGAAATCAAAATAAATATTTTTAATTTTTTTTTTTTTTTTGAGACAGGGTTCTCTGTTTAGCCCTAGCTGTCCTGGAAGTAACTCTTTAGACCAGGCTAGTCTTGAACTTACAGAGATCTGCCTGCCTCTGCCTCCTGAGTGCTGGGCTTAAAGGAGCGTACCAGCACCAAGAGCACCACGCTGTCATCTGATAGGCCTTTGTCTGTGCCATCCCATAATAGAAGGGAGTCAAGGGAGGGCAAGCCCAGAGAGCAAGAGGGGCCCAAACTCACTATTAAACTAAGATCACTCTCTTCCTCCTTCCCCTCCTCTTCTTCATTGACTTGTTTTCATTTTGTGAATGTGAATATGAGTATTTTGCCTGCATATTTGTGTACATGCCACAGGCCTGCCTGGTACTGCCAGAGGATAGAAGAGGGCATTAGATCCATTGGCACTGGGTTTACAGAAGGTTCTGAGACACTGAGTGTGCTGGGAACCAAACCTAGATTTTCTGCAAGAGTAGCAAGTGCTCTAACCGCCGGGACACCCCTTCAGCCTTACAGCCATTCTTGAGGTAACTGACCCCTTCTGTGATAACATCAGCCCATCCATTAGGCCTCATCTTTCAACAGTGGGAAGTAAGTTCCCAGCAGAGGAACACAGAGACAGGGTTTCTCTGTGTAGGCCTGGCTGTCCTGGAACACCCTTTGTAGACCAGGATGGCCTTGAACTCACGGAGAGCTGCCTGCCTCTGCCTCCCAAGTGCTGGGATTAAAGGCATGTGCCACCACCCGACTTCAGAGGAACTTTTAAAGGGCACATTCAACCATAGCAGCCATTAGATCTATTAGGCCTGTGTGTAATTTCTAAGAGATTTTTATCTTCATATTTTTTCTAGTACCACCTCCTCTCCCCCCAGCTCTTCTTTTTTTTAAACACAAATAAAATTTCAATCATTTATTTATTTTTATTTTTGTGCATTGGTGTTTTGCCTGCATGCACGTCTGTGTAAAGGTGTAAGATCTTATGAGTTAGACAGTTGTGAGCTGCAGTGTGGGTGCCGGGAACTGAATCTGGGTCCTCTGGAAGAACAGTTAATGCTCTTAACCGATGAGCCATCTCTCTAGCCCCCACACTTGAAATTTTAAAAGAGAAACAATAAATCTGGCACATCAGATAGAACAGCTATCGCACAAGCCTGAAGACCTGTGCTTGAATCCCTAGCACCTGCGTAGAAAGCAGGTGTGGCGGTGTGTGTCTGTAATCTCAGCATTAGGCAGGATCCCAGGGCTCACAGGCCTGCCAATCAAGCTCAACTCAGGGATCAGCATGCTCAGGGAAAGACCCTGGCTCAAAAACTAAGGTGGAGATTGAGAGAGAAAACCACTCGTGTCTATTTCTAGCCTCTACACACATCTCCCATGCACACATAAGCAAATTTAAAGCACTTTAGAAGAACTTGATCAACTAGTATTAAACCGATGCAAGAACTCAGGTTCAAGTCAGTCTAGTTTAGATAGTGAGATCCTGTCATAAAAACACCCAACTGTAAGTAAGCGAGAAGAGTTATTTGTGTGCGCTCCCTGCAGGGGGTGTATAAAGATGGTGCTCTGACCTGTATAGAAACATGGGCTTATGTATTGGAGCCTTAATTCTTAGGTCTCTGACCTAATCAGTGTATTAGTCCCTGAGGCTTAATAATCTAGTGGCATTGCCCGAGAGGCCGGATCTCATTGGAGAAAACAGGTTACTGGGTTATGCTCTGGAAAGCTCTCTCATCCCTGACACTTCCTGTGTCTCTGCTTCCTAGGCACTGTGAGGTGAGCAGCTCCACTCTTAAGTAATTCACATGCTTCTCAGCATAACGTTCTGCCTTAGCACAGCCCCAAAGCAACAAAGCCATCTAACCATAGACTAAAGCCTCTGAGACTATGAGCGTCAGTAAAGCATAAGGAAAGCGGACCCTAAGACCGGCGGATGGGGGCAGAAACAATCACGCAGAGAGCCCCCAGCTCTTCTTAATGGACTTAGCTTTTGAACTTTACTATGTACCCAATTAACGGTTTTTAAAGGTCTCTTTGTTGTCTCCTCCTCTTAGATCTCTCTCTCTCTCTCTCTGTTACTCTAGGGACTTTTCTTTAGCTGTGCAGTGGTCCCTGCCATCCCTTCAGCTTTAGTAAGAAAACACTGGGAAGGCTCCACGGCCCCGCAGGCTTCCTTGTTGTGGGGTGGTCCGGCTGAGCCATCCCACAGGGCTTCTGCTCTTAACACCTGCACATCTTTTCTGGCTGGTTTTCCCGAAAACAAAACAAAACCAAAAACATTGAGAACTCTGCAGCCTCTCAATGCTTCCCCAGGTTCCCCAAGTCCTTCTGCTCCTGGGGTCTCAGTGCCACAGCCCCGTTTCACTCCCTCTGCTCTTCAGACACGGGGGAGGGATTGCCGAGGCTGATGTGGGAAGAGCAGCGGCGTGGTCCAGCTGCTCTGAGATCATCTGCGGTGCCCAGCAGTCTCCTGAGCCTGCAGCTCCCAAGCCTTAGTGGCTGTAGGTGAGAAGGAGGCCCTTTCCAGACGTCCTCACCAATCTCCATTCCCTTTTCTGAAGTCACACGGTTCTCTTCTCCAGGTCATTCTTTCCTTCTATCTTCATCCATCTGCCTTGCCGCTTCTCCAAACTCTTTAACTCTTCAAGTAGAATTCAGGGGGGTTAAGACCTCCCATGACAGCTCACCCGAAATCTCCTTTCCACCCGTCTTGGTGTCTGACGAGGTCGGGAAGGTTCCCTACGGGGAGAAGGAATGGGAAAGGAACGAGGGTCAAAATCGGGGGGGGGGAAGCAGTTGTGGCTTGTTCTCCAGTGGGTCAGAAGTGAGTTTTGCAAGGGACAGCACTCAGAAAGGAGCTGGTGTCCAGTGGCCGGAAACTGGAGAGTCAGCTGCCCAGCAGAGAGCAGGTGGCCACCCAACAGCCTGCGGTCATTCCACCAATGCCGACTTTGTCTTTCAGACTTGGGCCTGTCCCCGCACCTCACGGCGCTCATGGCAGGCGGACAGCCCCTGGGACACAGCAGCAGCACCGGTGACACTGGTTTCAGCTACTCTCAGGATTCAGGTACGGTTCCTACCCGGAAAACCTCCGGCTTGTGCAAATTTGCTGCATTAATTGCGTGGAATTAAAAGTGTCGAAAGAGCGAGGAGGAGGGGTGGGATTCAGGAGCTGGGTTCCTCATGATGGCTGGTTCGGCTTTTCTGTGCCTCGAGGCCTTCTCCTTCATTCCTCTCGGTTCCTTCTCTCCCCACCGCATGGTGTGATGTGGAAGTTGAAGGTACACAAAAACCTTTGAGAAGATCTGAAAAACTTATGCTTTCTCACTAATTATGCTATAATTGGCTGGTCAGTCTCTGGAGTCATCTCTGGCTCCTTCCTGGAGTCAGCGTCATGGTGTTAGAGCTTTCGGGGAGTCAGGGTGGCTGGATCCCATGTTTGCTGAGTGGCCTGGGTGGGGGAATTTGGCCAGAGACTGGGAGCATCTCTTCACCTAGTTCACAGACTTATGCTGGAGAGCTGAGGCACCTGGCCGAATTTGGAGCTGGTGCTTGTTGATGCTCTGGGCCATTGAGGGAACGGTACCAGATCCCCAGACAAGCAGCAAGGGCTCCAGTGAACTCCAAGCTCCTCTATTGCCACACCCCTGGGAGCATTTGTCTTTTCAGGTGTAAGCCTTTAGGAGCTTTGCCCTCTCTCCAGCTCCCGCTGGGAGCTTTTGAAAAGTCATCTCTGGGGCTGGAGAAATAGCCGTTAGTGAAGTCAGAACCTAGGCCTGGCTCCAGCCACCGCAGGGCCCGGTGAGTGACTGTCAGTGGCCGGAGCTCTACGGCCTGAGAGTGGGGAGACAGCCTGGGGAGTGACGCAGGCCAGCCTATCCCTCCAACCACAGAAGAGGGGCGCAGGTCAAGGGAGCCTCATGACCCGTGGTTCCCGAGACAACACATGATATGTGGCCTCTGGGCTACTAGATGGGGGGGCATCTTCAGGGAAGACCGAACTTTTTTCTGACTGATGGCCTCATCTAGGTGCCAGTCACAAGGCCTACCCCTGTCCCACCAATAGTTCCAGAGCATAGTGCCCTAAGGTGACAGGACACAAGCCAAGGTGGAGGAGGGGCCTCCTCAGCTGACTTGGGTGTTGTTCCTCAGGTGCTGTCCACCGGAGGTTAGACCATTTGGTCTCCCTCTACTGTCTGTGAACTCCTGGGTGACACACAGGCTGTCTGTCAGGAGCTGCTTCAGGACGGTCCACTGGGGGCCAGGGTCACCGGCGCTTAGACAGGTGGGGGGAAGAAGCCTTGGTGTCTGTAGTAGCTTGTGTGCGTCATCTGTCTGCCTTAGGGACGGACGTGATGCTGCTGGAAGATGGCGCTTCTGACGACAACCCTCCCTCGCACTGCACTTGCCCACCCAAGAGAAGGAGCTCCGTCACGTTTGAAGATGAAGTGGAACAGATCAAAGGTCGGTTCATGGGAGTGCGACAGTTAAACACAGGGGCGACACAGGAGATTGTAGCCACAGCGTGCACATGTTCTTACCACAGAACATGCCAAGGCTTCCTCACCTCTGCCTCTTTCCAATTACTGCAGCCTACAGTGATACCTGAGTCTTGAATTCCAAGGCATCTGAATCAGAGCAAGCAGCGTCTAAGGTGGAGCGAATACAGATACATACACATGGACACACACAGAGACAGACACACATAGACACACACAGACATACAGAC